CTGCTTTTCAGCCCTCAGCTTTAACACTGTAAGAAATGCAGCTAAGTGGACCTTGTTTCAGGTTGAAAAGAGCCTTTCTTGTGAGAAATACTTCTCCCCATTTTGTTCCTCTCTAAACCCACACTTTTCCCAGAGTTCAACATTTCCCAGTGTACCCCACGACCCCTATTTTTGTTTTACTTTTGGTTTGGGGTTATTTTGTTCCGTTCTGTTTCTTCTTGTGTTTTAGCTGGGCTGCAGAGGCATAGTGCATTGCCCACCCAAGATTCTCCTTGTTTGCCAGCTTTTCTGTTTGCCTGGAACTCTGTAGGGCCTTTGCTGCATTTGTGCTCTTGCCTTTGCTTTTCCTGGCTGTGTTGTGTGCTGGCATTGCTAGAATCAAAACCTCATACCCTTCCGTCTGTAGTTGTGTTTCAAAGTGCACTGAAGGTAGTAGTAAAGAAACAGCTTGGCCAATATTCATTATTTGGGAAGGGGAAAAATACTAATTATGCAGTTACTTCCAAGGCATCTGTGGGAAAACTGCCAGAGGACAACAGCAGCAAAGGGCAAACAGCTGCATGGTTTAGGCACTTTTGTCTCCTTCACTCCATACCTGCACTATGTGCAGTCACAGGTCTAGAACACTTCACACCTAAGACTGAAATTAGCTGGGACAGAATTATCCCTTTTCTTTGCATCTGGCTTCAGCTTCCTCTCATATCACCTTGGTGGGAGCTTGCCCAAGTACGTGCAGCTCTGCATGGCTAAGAGGCCAGTTTTTCACTGGTGTATAGGTCTAAGGTCTCAGTTAAAGGAAAAGACTATTGGTTTGGGGATTAGGTTGTTTGTTTTTTCATTCAGAGCATTTTTGGTGATTATCCTAATAAACCAGGATGACTATGTGTGATTGCACAGATAAGAGCTGATGCAAGTTCAGCTGAACTTGCTGGATGCTCAGACAGGAACACACAGGGGTTTCAGTGCAGGTATTGGAGAACTCTGATAATGTGCTGAGCAATGAAAAATATACCTGGTATATAAAGTGTATTAGGGAAGGGATCAAAGGATCAAATCTCTTAATAGCTAAGATGAACTTCCTAGTCTTCTACAGAAAGGATAATGGAAATTCTTTTTGCATTAAGTTGGCCTATATCCTGCTTCATCAAAGGGAGAATGTATTTCAGCAGTATGAGAATATTTTCCCTTAATATTGGTGCATCCATTTTCTTCCTTAGAAACAGCAGAACCAAGAAGCAGTGAATCAGCTGGAGAAGGTAAAGTGTGTCCTATTTTTGGGTAATACAGAAATAGGTATCTGTTTCTCTGAGGAGCAGAAAGCACAATGGACTGTGGCACAGGCATCTGTGATCCTGTCTCGTGTTAGATTCAGTTTCATGTTTAGCATGAGGTTGAATATTCTGACTTCATGAGTTGGGCCTGGCAGGTAGTGTTCTTATTTTGACAGAGGGTGGTATTTAAATGTTTAGGTGTTGGAGGAGTGCAGTTGGGGCAGGAGGTTACAGGTTAGGTTCTTGCCAGGAGCTTCCACTCCAACACTGCCAGTGCTGCAGGGATTGTGCTGTGCTGGTGTTGCCATTCTGGGATGGATGAATGATGAAGTAGTTCAAATAATGGAAGATGAAATGTGTCTTTACACTGATCATCATTGAGATGCTAGAAGTGCTTTTTTTTGGTTTGACATAAAACAACAGGAGTTAACTACTTGCATGTCTGTGCTGAATCAGCATTGTTTGTTTCTACAGGAAAAGAAGGAGTTTGAACAGAAATTTTCTAAAGAGCAGGCAGCACTGAGGGAACAGCTGCAGGTAAGGCAAAGCCTCCATGAGTGTTATATCACCTGGATTCTGCTCTTTTTTGGGTTACTGACCACTCATAGTCCATTTTCAGGAGAACTGGGAGTGTCAGTCAGCTAGATTTAACTGCATGAGCTCTGTACCTGTACTGAGTTACCATTTTGTGGCAACAGTGATGTTGCAGTGACAAGCAAAGAATTTTTGCACTGAACAGATTTTCCTTTCCCAAAGGTCCATATCCAGACTATTGGAATTCTAGTTTCTGAGAAGTCTGAGTTGCAGACAGCCCTTGGACATACTCAGCAAGCTGCAAGGCAGAAGTCAGGTAGGTGACTGTGAGCACTGCAGCTCAGGGTGGTGGTTAAAATGTGCATTTCAAGTCACAGACATGATAGTTGCTGGCAACCAACTCCCAGCCCTCACTGACCCCTCAGTGAGCAGCATTTGGCACTGTCACTGCTCCTGTCATCATAGCTGCCCCCAGATGGGAGCATGTCGGGCCCATGGCAGTTGAGGTTCTTTTGTGCATCACTAAAGCCTTGTCAGCTCTGTTGGGCCTGGTGACTACCCCAGACTGTTCCTTTCTGATTCCTTTAAAACTCCATTCCCATTTCTCCGCCCTCCCTCCCACACAGCTGTCATCTTAATGGAGGTTTTGCCAAGCCTTTTATTCTGAACTAAACTTGAGCAACTTATTCTAATAGGAAAAAAAAAGCCCAAACAACATACTGTCTATTGCTCTACAAAGGAAGTTTAATCATCTCCCTCAAATGTCAGGCAGGTAGTTACAGGGAGCTTTACTGCCACAGCTGCTAGTGAATCACCTGTGGGGCTAGGAGTGGAACAAGCTCTGCTGACTTACAAAGCTCTGTGCTGCCTGAAGAGCTTGTTGACAAGGTAGAAAGTGCTGTTCAGGCAGTTCCAAAATGGTCTTTGTGGTTTAGCAGTGACTGATTGTGCTCTGACCTGTGCAGGGGAAGCTGAAAGCCTTGCTGCCCGTTTACACTCCTCTCGCCAGCGCGTGTCAGAGCTGGAACGCACCTTGTCCTCCATCTCCATGCAGCAAAAACAGTCAGAGAAGGTAGGAGTCACCTTTGGCTGTTTGCTCATTACTACACTGCTGCAAAGTCTGTAGGCCCTGCCTAGAGAAGAGGCAGAAATTAACCTGGTTAATTGTTAATTAACCTTGCAAAGCCCTGTGTTCTCCAGGATCAAGGCAAACTTCACTGAGGTTTCTGTGACCACTAATCATATGGTCCAGTTGCTGTTTTCAGATCTGGCACCTCACTTCATTAGTCTGGCAGCTCCACAACAGAAGCCTCACTGAGACCTTGTCCCAGGAGAGTCTCCATCAAACACTTCAGTACTGATATTTAGAAACAACCTCATGTTCAGTTAGTGGCATCACATTTCAAAAGACTGAGCAGACTTACTCCTGGCAAAGTCAGGAGGTTCTAAGCAAACCTGTCCTGAGATTTTGCCAAAGTTATGACCTCTTCTGCTTTAGCTGGTCTGCTAAAGGTGACATGAAGTCTTTTTTTTAATACCTAATTTGTTTAAATAAAGTCTGTAGATAAATCAATGATTTCCTTTTTCTCCAGCATAATAAAGAGTTAGTGAAGGAGAGGGACAACCTGAAACTGGAACTGTACAAACGAAGGTAAGGCCCTTTTGCTCATTCCTGCAGTAACATTGCTCTTCTCAGTAGAGCCTCAGCACATAACAAAGGGCCACAGGTGGTGACTTGGGAGGTTGGATATTCAATGACAAAAAATGTAGCCACTAGATGTGATGTTTCTGTGATTCTAGCTGCTAGGAAGCACTGGATTGTAGAGTTGACATGGACATCAGCAGACCCAGAGTGTGTATAGTGGTGCCACTATTAACTTTTTGTTTGTTCCAGCAAAAGTAGTGAGGAAATAAAGCAGCAGAATTCAGAACTGTCAGAGAAAGTTCACTCCCTGGTGTCCAAGAACTCAGCTATGAAGTTGGATGTGGAGGATTTGCAGAAGAAATTGGAAATGGCTGAACTGATGATTCAACAGGTAACTGGGATTCTGGGATGAGAGGGCAGATCACACTGTTCCACTGCTCTGCTAAGAGTGTTGTACAGCATGAGAGGGTGACTGAGCATATCAGGTGTGCAAATACAGTGACTTTCCTGCTTGTATATGTTCAGCATTTTGGTTACTCAGTTGTGCAGTGTCAGTGAGTAACCAGCTGAGTAGGGGTGGTGTTTGTACCCCTCTGAGCAGAAGGTGAATTGGACAGTGGCAGCTTGGAATTCAGCTGGGGAAAGTTGGGAGAAGCAGCCAGTTAGAAAGGGAATGCATGGAGTCAGCTGTGAGCAGGTCAGAGAGCAAGCTTGGTGTCACCCTGGGAGGAAACTGCTCCTTTTTTGTGTTCCTCAACAGTGGCTTAAGTTACCCTTGAAAAAAAGCCAACTCTGCTCTTCTGGGAAAAGTACTGTGCCTCAGCTGAACTGGCCTTGCTGCTTAGTTCTCTGACATCTTTGAGACATTGCCTTTCAATTCCTGACGTGTCTGACAACTTTTAAGGTCACAGGCTATTACACCATCTGATCAGGCTGTATAATGCAGACTCTGCAAGTGCACAAAGTTTCTGAGCCAAATTGATTAAACCTAATTTCTTGATTAAAAAAATAGTAAAATAGGTAGGGAAGAGCTGCCCAGTTCAGCCTGTTTTTCAGGGCATCTAAGCTTTTGGATTTTAATCCCCTCCCTTTATTTTTCATTGAACTTCACTGTGAGCTGGGGAGCTTTAAAGAATTACAGAAGGATGCAGCATGGATCATTTGGCAGGTTACTCTCAGGGGAAAGGCTGTGCAGGAATTGAATCTTAACATTTTGCCATAACCTTCTGATTTTTATGGACAGTTCTCAAACCAGTCAGGGAGTTTGGATGCAAACCAGCAGCTGCAGATGGCTCTGGAGGAGAAGGCAAGCCTGGAAAACCAGGTAGCTCAGGTAAGAGGTTGTATGAAACATGATTCAAATCTTGATGTCTGTAAAGAAACTTGTGTGGCAGAAAAATGTAGCCTGAGCTTTGCATTAGCATTGGTTTCTTCAAGCTTTATCCCTTAAGCAGTCACTGCCTAATTTATTTAGTCAATCCGATTTTGTGTTTTGTTTTAACAGCTCTCAGAGTCACTTCAGCAGCTCCAGGCAGAAAGAGATCAGTATGTAGAGAAACTGAAGGAGGAGGGAAGCATTTGGCAGCAGCGAGTGCAGCAGCTCTCTGAGCAGGTAACCTCAGGGGCGGTGTCACAGCAAACAGGCAGGAGGAAATGCACCATGAATGTTGTTCTAACTTTCACTTAATGTGGCCTTGCAGGTCCATTCAATGGCAGAGGAGAAGGAGAAGCACATGGCCCAAATTCGGGAGCTGGAAGCCAATGTTACAGAGCTGATGAGCACATCTGGTAAGGCTTCCCACTGCAGAGTGCCAGCAGGTTAACTCTGTCCAGCTGTGCAGGTGCTTCTGTGCACGAGGTGCACGTAGGTCTGATGCTGTGTAAGAACCTTTTCCTCCTGGCAGACAGCAAGTGAAGTGCAGGGACTCGACCAGCAGCTTGGTTATGTCTGTAGCATTGGCCTGACTGTACTGTCAGCCTCTCTGGCCCAGCAGCTGGGCAAGACAGGATGCTCTTGTTAGGGCTGTGAGGCAGCTGGCAGCAGGATGCTGTGCCTGGCTGTGGGGTAGATTTGCTCCTTTGTTTCTCTCAGTGCCATACACTGAGGATTGGACACTGCAGCTGGTGATGCCTCCTGGGTCACACAGCCCTATAGGTTGGGGTGTGCTTTGTGTACCTAACAGGGATGTGTCTGACCCAGCGACTTACCCTGTGACTGAGCTGCTTCTGATTCCATTTCCTCAGCAGTGAAGCCCATGGATATTGAGCCTTCCTCACCCCCAGGGCCCACAGCAGCTGAGCTCAGTCTGCAGGAGGAGATCCAGAGGCTGCAGCAGGAGAAGGAGGAACTGCATGGGCAGTACCAGGCCCAGGTCCGGGACAATGAGCAGCTGAGCCACCTGAACAGGGAGCAGGAGGAGAGGCTGCTGGAGCTGGAGAAGGCTGTGCAGCGCTACAACGAGGAGTCTGTGGACAGGCAACAGATCCTGGAGGACATGCAGAGTGACAAGGCCACCATCAGTAGGGCACTGAGCCAGAACCGGGATCTGAAGGAGCAGCTGGCTGAGCTGCAGAATGGCTTTGTCAAACTGGTATGTCTCTTTCCTGCTTCTTTCCCCACTGCTTCCCTCACTGGTGCAATCCTCGTGTAGTACAGATGTAATGAACTGGCAGCAGCATTATCCCTCTTTTGTCCTCTGAGGGTGTGGATGCTCTGTCTTCTGTAATACACAGTGCCTTGCCAGGAGGTTCCCTGTAATTCCTTACTCCCTCAGGTGCTCTGGCAGATGAACTGATATCTTTGTCCAGAGCTGTTTCCTTACCCTCTCCTCTCCTGGCATTCAGGCTTTCTGTCCCTGAGTGTTTCTCCTGCCCTTTTACCTGAAGATAACCATTTCCTGTTCCCTGTATTTGCCCATCAGGAAGTTCTCAGCAGTCCTCTCTCCTGTTGCTGTCATTCTTACCCTTCCCCTTTGGGGCTCTGGCAGACTGACACATGGTCTAGCTGCTGATTTTTTTCTTCAGCCCTTTCTGAACTCCTTGTTTTCAAATGGCTCTGTTTGGGTTATTCATACTACCCATCTGCTTTGGAGCTGACAGGCTGTGTGATGTGCCAGACCTCTTCTTGGCACTGTCCCAGCACTGATTCCCCTGGCTCTTTTCTTGCTCTTTTCTCATCTTCTGAATGTTTCTGTAAGTTATTTACTGTCTTGAACAGTCAATTTATGGTCCTTAGTTAGAGCCCAGAATAACACAGAGGATGCCACCTGTAGTATTGGGAACGAACAGGGTTTATTGAGAGCCTGTATTTTGTGGTGGTTGGGGCAGTTTCCTTACACAGTGTTGTTTGTCTTGCAGACAAATGAAAACATGGAGGTTACAAGTGCCCTACAATCAGAGCAACATGTAAAGAAAGAGCTGGCCAAGAAGCTTGGGCAGCTGGAGGAGAACCTGGTGGACCTCAAAGAGTCGGTGAGTACCAGCAGTGGGATGGCAGGGCTGCTGTGTGGTGGTTTGTGCAAACTGCTGGCAACTTCCCAAACACTGATGGAAGGGTGGAAATGGGTATTGTAAGGATCAAGCTGGGAGCCTTCCCCTATCATCTGCTGCCTGATGTGGGGGCCCAGCATGTGGGGGCAGATGGTGGCTGCCTACCTGGCTGCTGACTTTGGGGCAATGTTGACAGTTTGGATCATGTCACATGGATCAGCTTTTCTGGCAGAAAGGGTTGAATGTGCTGATCTTGTTCTCTCAGCTGGAGCTGAGGAGACAGGAGGCTCAGGGCCTGCAGGAGCAGAGGGACCAGTACTACAGCCACCTGCAGCAGTACGCCATGGCCTACCAGCAGCTCTCGGCCGAGAAGGAGGAGCTGCACAAGCAGTACCTGCTCCAGACACAGCTCATGGACAGGCTACAGCACGAGGAGGTCCAGGGCAAGGTGACACTGGAAATGCACCTGAAAGAGCTGCAGCAGACCAAGGTAAGAGTAAAAAGAGGCAAATGGAAAGATGCAAGGAAAAGTGCTTAAAAGGCAGTGTTCAAAGCCAGGTTGGATAAAACCTTGAGCAACCCGGTCTAGGGAGAGGTCTCCTTGCCCATGGCAGGAGGGGTTGGGACTAGATGATTTCTAAGGTCCATTCCAACCCCTTAACATACTGTGATTCTATATTAAGTATTAATTAAGCCAAAGGTTGGGCCAGATGAGCTTTCACAGTCTTCAGTCCTGTGATTACACCCTGTGCCATACAGGCAAATGACACTTGTCTGGAGCAGAAGCACTGCTTGTAGGTGTGTGTGTGTGGTGCTGCTGTCTGGAGTGGCTGTACTCTTTCTTGTACAAATGTCAGTGATCCTCTGCTGCTCGGTTGCAGGAAAGTCTGGAAGCTGTAGCTAAGGAAAACAAAGAGCTGCAGGCCCAGATCAGCCAGTTGGCAGCAGAAATGGATGGCAGGATTTTGCAGCAGCTAGAGGGTGAGTAGCAGCATCAGGGATGAGGCAGAGCTGGGCTCTCTGAGGTATTGCCTCCTTATTTACCTTCCTCCTTTCACAGAAGATGAAGCAATGGCTGAAGAAATCCAAAAACCTTCATTTGTGATCCCAGAGAAGTTTGAAAGCCATGAAGAAATGGTGAGTCTTAATGGGTAGTCAAGCCTTTGGTTTTAGTTCTAAACAAATGTCTAGAAAAGGAGGTGGGTTAAACTGCAGGGAGGTTTATCAGCTATAATCCTACCAGCTGAGTGCAGTCATGAGGGAAGTGCAACAGTTATTTGTGCACAGCACACAGAAACCAAGACTTCTGCAGCATCCTTGCAGTACAGGCTGCAAGTCTGGCAGTGGCTTTCCTTATGGAAACAACTCAGCTGGCAGAGCAGCATTTTGATGATTATGTTCTCTTTAGTTTGGAAGCAATTTAAAAATGGTGTCAAATATAAGTAGAGTCATAATTGGAGAACACTAGTCAAGCAGGTGTCATGGGAGGTAGTGTTTAACCTGGGAATGAGAGAAGATGCAGGAGCTGCTGCCTGGTTGAGTTTCAGAGCAGTCATGTAGTACTTTGGTTTCGTACCCATAAATAAAATGGGGTGAAGTGTTACTCTGTCCTGAGATGCACCATTGATCCTGCTGCTCTAATGTGCACACTCTGGAATTCTTCCTAGGTCACTTTCTTAACCTCTGCCATGTCCCAAGTGGAACAAGAGCGAGAAGATCTGAGGCAGCAGCTGACTGCTCAGAAGCAGCAGTGCAGAACCCTCCTGCAGCAAATCACAGCTCTTAGGCAGGAGCAGCAACGTCACATTGCACTCGATGGAGGTAAAATCTGTGCTCAGTCTGGGGACAGTGTGACCATGAGGTGTGCCTGGGCCACCTGGCCATGGCTGCTCTCAGACACACCTATGGGGCTGTGAGTGCATCCTGCCCAAGGAGGAGCTGTGAATTGCACACTTCCCTTCCAGGTTCCATTATGGATACTGTTCCAGTGGAGGTTCATGAGGCTTTGAAAGGTGCCATGGAGAAGCTACAGGTAAGCAAAAGATCTCATCTGCTTTCAGCCCAATATGACCAGAGCTGTGCTGTTCTGAGAAGGTTAGAGGACACTTTGTTTAATGCAGAGATGGTTTGGTTTGGTTTTTTTTTTTACACCTCCTCTAGCTGTGTCCTCTCTGTTCCCTTTTTACCATGAGCTAGGAGACAAGTTGTGAAGGAGCAGGATTTGTTCCTCAGGTTCAGACGTGGAGGGTGTGTCTTTAGCACAGGTGTTCGTTGTACGTGATCAGCTCAGGTGACTGACACCAATTTCTGTGTCCAGTTCCGTTTCACAGAGCTGATGCAAGAGAAGGCTGATCTGAAGGAGAGGCTGGAGGAGCTGGAGCATCGCTGCATCCAGCTGTCTGGAGAGACAGACACCATTGGTATGTTCAGGCAACACCAGCACAAGCTCAAGCTTGCTCAGTGCCTTATTTATGTGGGAAGCAGAAGGCCCCTGACAGCTTTTGGAGCTGGAGCCTTCCAGCCACCAGCACTTCATGTCTCCCTTCTACTGCTGTTTGACTGGGCTGTCTCCAATCCAGGGCTTGATTTCCTGGACCATAATGCCACATAGCTCTGTGCTCACCATAAGTGCTCACACCACTCCTGATGCTTCTCTTGTGTTCCAGGGGAGTACATTGCACTGTACCAGAGTCAAAGGGCTATCCTCAAACAGCGGCACCAGGAGAAAGAGGAGTATATCAGCAGATTGGCCCAGGATAAGGAAGAGATGAAGGCAAGGATTTTTTTCTGTGGTTGTACTCCAAGCAGGGCAGTCCTGCACAATCCAAACCTTTGCATGCTGTTCCTTTGCTAATTCTGTGACGGGGTAGGACTGCAAACTGCAGTAATGTGTTTGTGTGCATGGCTTATGGCCTTTCCTTTACCTTGGTGCAGATGAAGCTACTGGAACTGCAGGACCTAGTGATGCGTCTGGTGAGGGAGAGAAATGAATGGTACAGCAAGTATGTAGCAGCTGCTCAAAACCCAGAGCTGTTGGCAGGCCAGGCTCAGGGTGAGCTGCCAGCAGAGCGACGCATCGAGCTGAACGCGACCGATGGGGAAGGTAAGCTGCAGCTCCTGGCTGTGGCCCAGCCCCTGCCCTCAGCCTGTGTGTGCATGGGAGGAGTGACCTGCCTGCCTTGTCTGTGCTCCTTGCAGGGTTACGAGAGGTGAATCTGTCAGATGAAGCAGAACAAGATGCTGCTGTTCTTCATCAATCCGGTTTCCCCCCTATTGACAGTAAAGCTGCTCAGCCAAACCAAGAGGACCCCACGGCAAAGCAAATAATGCAGCTTCTCCGAGAAATCCAGAACCCTCAGGAGAGGCTGGGCTCCCTGCAGGAAAACCCTTGCATTCCTTTCTTCTACCGTGCGGATGAGAACAATGAGGTCAAGATCATGGTAGTTTAAGTGGTGCTAAATCTTACCGACAGCAACTTTTTATGGGCCTGAAAGGATTTGATGGACTTGTTTGTGCCCATACCTCTGCTCAGTGCCCTTGGTCAGAACAGATTCCTAAAGACATCAGTAAAGGATTGCATCAGATGGAACTCGAGCATCAGACCTCATCTTCCCTTTTTCTTTTCTCTGTTACTTGGTGTGCTTGGAGTACAGGCAGACTAACTCATCCTGGGAGGCAGCTGGTGCTGGCACATCACCTGGGCTGGGGAAAGGGGTGTCCATAACTTTGGGCAGAATGACTTAACCCCTTATCCCAGACTCTGCTGCCACAGCAGCTTCACAGCCATGACTGAGCCATGGTTCCGATCATCACTCACGACTGTCACCAGCCTAGTTCCTTCCAGGGCTCCCAAAGTAACTAACTTATTCTGGTAATGGACTCTTTGGACTCTAAACAGGTTGGGTTTGTTTCATACTACGTATCTTAAACTTCCCCCTTCCTGCTGCAGTCTGCCTCTTGCACCTCTATTTCAAAACAGGCTTAGCAGTCTCTTCGAGCCTCCAGCAAGTGGCTCCAGGGCAGCACTACAGCCCTAGTGTTCTCCTGGCCTGGGGCAGGGACTGAGGGTGGCCTTTGGGGTCTTTTTGGTTACTTGACAAAGCTTTATGTGATTCTTGGGACTGGGGTGGAAATGTAACTGCACTTTGAAGGATGATGTGTTTCACTTGTATGTGTCTGAAGGTTTTATTTATTTTAAGAAATGGGAGAAATAAGTCAAAGGAAACCACTTAATAAACATGCTTTGTTTTGAATTGCTGGACTCTAGGGGTTCTAGTTGTCCATCCCTGAACTTTCCTCTTCTCCCATTTTGGTAAGCAGTGCAGTAGATGGGTGGAAACCAAGATCCTGTGGCCCATGTTTTAAGTTCCTGGGACACATGTCAGCAAGTGAGGCAGCACCTGGCACTGCCTTGAAGCCATAGCCCTGATTCTAAGGAGAAACCAAAACACAGAGGGAGGAGAGAGCTCCCTGAAGCAGCAGCAAAACAACTCTCTTGGCTGTGGCAATGGTGAAGTGACCTCTATGTGGATGTCCTGCAGCTGAACTTACCTTCAGGCAAGAACTGCCTGTTCTTAGGAGGGTTGATTTCAGCAATGGAGTTCTAAGGAAAACCACAGGAGAGGTTTAAGGGACCTGATCCTCACAGCTGTGTGACCAAACACACAAGCCTGGGCTGGTGCCTGAAGCAGCATCAACTGCCTCCCTGTTACCTGCTGAGATATGAGCAATGCAAGCACAGGAACACGTGCCAAGTGTGGCGTTTGTTCAACAGGAGAGACCTTTCTACTTCTGTGTCCAAGCTGGTGAAGCTTTCCACCAGCAGGGCACAGCTTTCCTTCTACTGCCAGAGGCAGACTAGGTGTGGGTTGTTTCATTTCAAATGGTTCATCTTGTATTTCCATACACAGCTGAAAAAAGGGCACAGAGCACAATCAGTGCTTCCCTGTGAGCTCCCAGGGAAAGCTGGTTTTGAACTGTCCTTTGCATGGCACTGCTGGTGTCAGTCTCTGATAAGCACAAGTGTTTGGGCTCCCCAGCTCCCAACGTGGGTGTGTGTACATACTGTATCTGTGTAAAATGCTGTATATTCCTTCAAGAGACACTGAGCCTGTTGCAGTGTCTATGCCTGCTCAGGCCATTGATAAATCTGTATCATAACTGATAGGGGAAGGGCTGTGATTTAATTCAGAGCATTACTGTAAATGGAATAAATATTTATTGGCTGTTTAGTACTGTGAAGGAGACAAGACCAGTGAAGAAGGTCTGAGGTCTGTTGCAGAGGTGATTTAATCCTGTTACAAGTTTGCTTTCTGAATAAACTTATTCAGATGGGCACTGACTAGATGTATTTCTTCTGCACAGATCACCGTGAAAGTTGGCCAGAAAAAAAGAGCAGTGAAGAATGAATCCTTTATTGAGAGCACCTGCCCTGGCAGTGATGCCCTTTTCACTGAGCCTTCAGGAATGTTTGCTGTAGACAGATCCTGACAAGGCTGAGACCTGGCTAGCACTTCACACCCAGATTCACTGTGTACCTTGTTCCCCTTAGGAGTGTTTCCCTGACCTCACCTTTACTTGGAGCAAACCAGGAGCAGCAACTACTGTTCAGCTGACAACCAACACCTTTAAACTGGAGCAACTGCACTGTCTCTGCACCTCTGAGTGGAGGAGGAATAGAAAAATGCTTCTCAAAGACCACAAGCTCCAAACAACAGGAAATAGCTGCTCTGCTGGGACAAGGACACATTGTTGGACAAGGCTGTAGAGCAGTGGACAGGATTGATCATGCCTAGGCAGAGTAGCTGGTATTCTCATCAGAACACACTTAACCTTTGGCAAGGAGATGAGAGGTTTCTAGTTTTGCAAAATAAGTTCTAATATTTACTTGAATAAAGGGTATTTGGAAGGCAAAACTATGTAACAGCCCCACAGATAACACCAGGGATAGATGGAACAGTTCC